CTAGATATAAGTTCCTTTGCAATGGCAGATGAAGCAATTTCCTTAACATGAAAAAAAGATATGTGGGCTCTCATTGTCGCTGTGGGTAATTAATTAATGGCAATAGTGATGTTTGCCATATTTGACTTACTGTTGATATTAAATTTTAATCTTTTGCAATTTATAATAGAGTAGTCTCGCCGCCCAGGCCATTCCCCAGCCTACAGTCACTGGGGTGGACGGCGGGGAAGAGTCTGGTATTTTGACTTACCTGCCCTTGTTCCGTGGAAGCCACACAAATACCACACTTTTATGATTTGGTCACATGAAATGGGAGGAGTAGAATGACGTGTGCGAAACACGTGTTTCCACGTGTCTGTAATGGGAGTCTATGGAGGTGACAGCAGCTGTTCAAAAAGCTGGGGAAATCTTTGGATATACAAGTTTAAAGGAAGAACAACTGTTATGTATGACTGCATTTATTGAGGGAAATGATGTTTTTTGTATATTGCCAACTGGGTATGGTAAAACTCTTTGTTTTGCCTGCTTACCACAAGCATTTGACTTACTACATGACAATAATGAAGACTCAAAGTCAATTATTATAGTGGTTAGTCCTTTGACTGCCTTGATTAAGGATCAGGTTGAAGCATTACGAAAAAGGAAGATAAGTGTCGGTTATATTGATTCTGAAAATGAAAAATATGTGATTAGTGATGTAATTAAGGGGAAGTATAGCATTGTTATGATGGGTCCTGAAATGTTGATGGGAAAATGGAGAGGATTACTTGCATCGAATAAGGTGTATCAGAAGAGGCTTGTAGGTATAGTGGTGGATGAAGCTCATTGTGTAGTGAAATGGTAAGTCATGCATGACATCATAATAGTATTTGATATTTTGAATTTAGGGGATTGACTTTTTGAGAGTGTTTTGCAAGAATTGGAGAGCTCAGAAGCTTGATGGAAAGAAATATTAAAATAATGGCTTTAACAGCAACAGCAACAAACGAATTAAGGAAAAAAGTTTCTGCACTTTTGTGTATAATAGAGCCATATGTAATTGCACTGTCTCCCGATAAGGCTAATGTCCTGTATGCAGTTCGTGAAGTAGGAGAATATAGTGTCATATTTCGCTATATTCTGATGGAGATTACAACCAAGCGTACTTTATTACCAAGGATTATAATATTCTGCAAGAATAAAGGAGATTGTGGACGTCTGTATACTTACTTTAAAGCTAACATGGGCCAAGAATTTACTGATCCTCCAGGGGCTTCTGAACAACTACCAGACCACCGGCTTATAGATATGTACTTCCAAGGAACAGAACCAGCAGTGAAGGATATGCCATTCTTAAGAATTTCACATCACCATCTCGATTACGAATTGTAATTTGTACTGTTGCTTTTGGTATGGGAGTTGATTGTTCAGATATCAGGATGGTTATTCATTTAGGTGCTCCATCAGACATAGAAATGTATGTCCAAGAAGTTGGTAGAGGAGGAAGGGATGGTTTGCCAACATATGCATTATTATTGAATTCTGCTCGTTTACTCAAAAACTGTTCAAAAGCTATGTTAGATTACTGCTCCAATGCCAGAACATGTCGAAGAACTGTCCTTTTTCAGGATTTTGAAAAAACAGGCTCAGTTTCTACAAGTACAGGCTGTGATTGTTGTGACATTTGTGGCAAAAGTTGTAATTGCAACAGTTGCAAATCAAAACTACAACAATTCTATAATTTTATGCCAATAATGTTTGGAATAGATAAATGATTTCTAGTTTTAAAATATTTATTTGCTACATTAAATTTCTCTGTAAATTATGATTTGAAGTTGACACTTCAACATTCTATATTATTAGGAATATAAAATATTTCTCAATTTAGTTGTATGTTCCAACATCCACTTTTCCAGTTTCTTGGGATCAATTGAAGAGATTACATTTGTTTTCATTCCTTCGTATAGACGAGTACAGTGTATATGCCTATTGCTGATTTTGCGAAATACTTGAGCGTTAAGAAGCTCACGAAGAATTATATTTCGATCTTTATCAACTCCTGCAATGGAATGAGTTCCATAAACATCACTAACTCCAAGAGTCATATCAAATGAACGTTCCACATTATGAAGAACTCCCAAACATTTTCCTGCTCGTTGCAATGCAGCAGGTGTCTTGTTGGCTCCAAGATTAGCTACAGCTGTTTTACACAATCTATTCAAGTGTTCTAAGTGTAAGTCAGCGGGGATATTTCGGCCAGGAATACCGTGAGTATTGACACATCTACTCCATATCAACTGTTCCCTTTGTCTGTTACTGAAAAAAGTGGTACTGTGTCAAAATATTAAGCCCTTCTATAGCATAGTTGCGTCTTTGCCTTGCTTTAAATAACAGCATCAAAAATCTCCAACTACGAATGATTCTGTTCCCATCAGCTTCTCTTATAGCATCAGCAAATTCAAAATACATTAAGCCAAATGATAACAATTCACACGAGTACGTATAACCCTTATCATCATTAGATAAACTGGTATCTTCACTAGAACTTTTATCTGCTGATTTCCTCTTCTTTGTTAGAAAATGTGGTTCTAAATCGACAAATTGTTGCACAATCTCTTTCGTTACTAAATCCAAAATATCTTTCTTTGTATCTCTCTATTCTATCCACAATTCATCCTGCAACATGGAATGAGATGGTTTATCAGATGTAGAACTCATTTTCAAATACTCCATAGCTGCTGCTAGAATATGAGATTGTACAACAGTCACTAAGAAATCTTCACAAGCATTAAAGTCAGAGTCAACATTAGCAGATACATTTCTCCTATCTATAACGTTTCATAGCTGGAAAAGACTTCCTTTATCAATAAAACTTTTACAATCATAAAACCTATTCCAAATAACCTAAAATTAAAAAGAATCGTCATTACTAAGTCAAATAAGTATTTACTTATTTCAAAAAAACACTTCTTAGCATGCCAATCTTCACACACAGGTTGGATTCCTTTCAGCTTGAGAATAGTAGATGTACTACCTTGCCGTAATTCTATAGCCGTTTCAGATCTCTTATGGGTTAACATATCTCCACCAAATAATAACTGATGCACACGATCAGCTGAAATAGGCTTATTTGTAACAGGATCTCGTGCCATTTCTGGAACCACAGGAACATACTTATTAACATGTTCCAGAATAGAAATCATATCATCAATATCATTTTCATTCTTCAAAATTACTCCAAGTGGCACCTAAAACATAAACAATCAATGTGTAATTGTTGTCATGTTAATAGCTTTGTCATTTACCATTTCTGATTTCTCTGACATTTCCTTACTATGCTCATGTGGTATATGATTAACTAATACATCATCAAAAGTAGTCTTGAAATAAGGAATATGAGCAACTAAAACTCGTGCAACTAATACATTAAAATTAGCAATTAAAGACTGATAATCAGTTGCGGAAGGCAGCAGACTTTCAAAAGGCAGATCTTCTGTTTGTACACTAAGATATCGATTGGGCTCATTTGAAAAACCAGGCAAGTTGACTCGATCCTTTACAGCAAATAAGTAAAAGAAATGCAATGACTGATTAGGATGATCAACTCTCAAAAACCGAGGTTTGATATTTTTATCCAGGTTATCACCAATTATGCAAAAACCATTCCACTCACGAACAATGCCATCATCAATATTTACTGTAATCTCTTCATCTACCTCCATAACAGTGTAGCTATCACCTTTGGAAAGAAGACAGAATAAGGGTTAATACAATTTGTAACAATAAAAATACCAGTTATATCTGAGAAAGATGGTGTGATAGGAGTTGTTTCACTTGGAGTATCACTATCAATTTGTACATCAACAGAAACAATAAGATCTTGCATATTGTCAGCAACTTCAATTTCATTTAGATCTTCAGTATTTGTTGCATCAATCATTTCATTTTCCTTAAATAGTGAATACATAACTTAAATTTTATTGAGAAATATATGAGTGATACTTACAATTAATATACCGGTATCATTATAGCCTTCAAAATGAGGTTCTAAATCTTCATTCTCTTCCAGCATATAATCAGGTGCTATCTATAAAAAGGATCATAGGAATCACCAGTGCCTTTGCACCCAAACCTGTAATGACACATCTTTATTAGACGGTACACAAAATGGAAGAAGAGAGTCTCTCCACTTCAAAACTTTGTCATCATGGCCCTCTCCAAACTGATTTATTAACACAAAAGCTGCATTCCTACTAACTGATAGCATTAGCTTCTGAAGCCTGTTGTAAACCTAATTTTAAAATAAATTACAACAATCTGAAATACATTTATACTTACTGATGTTCCTGTATGTGCTGAAAAGAGTATTGCAGATATCATTTTCTGAAAGAGAGCCAGCTTTGAACAACGAAACTTAGCAAGGATACAAACTATCATGGTGACAATTTTTTCTCCATTACGTCTGCCAGACTGTGAATCTGCTGCAGATGCCAACAAACTAAGCAATGTAGGACAATGACAAGAAAACTCTTGATATAAGCCTTCCCATGGAAAAGTATGAATATGTTCTTTATCTCTTGATCTCAACAATGAATTGCATTTCTTTGAACATAATTTCTTCAACTCATATTGGATGATTTTACCCAATCCTTTTACAATCCATGTCATAGACTTCTTGTTCTTCAAAACTCTAATTGCTAAACTCTTAGATGGATCTTTTGACCTTGCTAAATGCTTCACACTATGCTTACTAACTGGCGTATCCATCACCTACGTTTTTACACCACTAGGATATCCAATATTGACCTATTAATTACAAATAACTCTAAAGTTATCTCATTTAACGATACAACTTACAGAAACTGTGGGTGACAGTGTTTGGTCAACTCGAGATCTCTTACATACAGATTGTGCCACTTCAGCAGAAGGTAGACTAGCAGGAGCAGGACAAAGATATCTTGAAGCCAATCTCTTAATGTAATCAACTAAATCTAAATCCATAGTATTGGCATACAACTCTTTCCCTTTCTTTGAATACGTGGCATAAGCTTTATAACACTTCATGCAAACAAAAGCATTTGAGAGAGCAGACGAATCAAAGTCGTATCCAATTCTCTTGCACAGCATGTTGTGGAGAGCCTCTGTGACGTCAGAAGATTCATTAGTTCCCAAGATCCTTCTTTGACCAGGAACAGTCACAGATCCACAAGCCACGCAGATAGTCATACACTCGGCCATTTTTGTTTAACATCCACGTGATAATCATGTGACACAAATTGTCACAATGACGAAATTGTGACGATCTGAAATCTGATTTGGACTTCTTTTTTTGGTTGTGCGGAACAAGGGCAGGTAAGTCAAAATACCAGACCCTTCCCCGCCGTCCACCCCAATGACTGTAGGCTGGGAAATGGTCTGGGTGGCGAGACTAGGAAGGATGCTGTCTGTGCAGGTGCTCCGGGAACTTTCTGTCATGCTGAAGCACTAGGGGCATTGTGTGTAGCGTCTAATATTTTACAATAAAAATATTTTTTTGAAATGTGTCTTTAATTGATAGGGAAATCATATGCCTTTAATTTATTCTTGGATAGTCAGATATATTTGATTAATTTATTCGCTTCAGAAAACACAACTTTATTATCAGAAGTATTGTCCATCATTTCACAAATAGTTCTTGCAGTTATCACTTTCCTAACAGTAGATCTCCTTTATTTGTTGAAAATATTAATGACTTCAGGCATCATTGATAGTTGTGGCATTAATCTACTCATATCAATATCACTTGAGTACAAGGTACACTATTTATTCGACTTCCATTGCATGAACTAATTAAAATATCTTCCATCACAAGTATCCATGAGATGAAAACATACATCCATGAGTTCCCAAAACAATTAAATAGAATTCTTTAGCTACATCATTTGTGAATCTTTTACCTAACCTTTCACAGTGCTATCTTTTAAACCTATTAAATTACATCTTTTTTGCTCCAGTAGCTTCAGTGATCAAAGAATTAATGATGTCTATGCCATCCTGTAGTTTCTTTGCCTCTTCTTGACCCAGTGTGTCTCTTGGGGTATCTTCTTCATCTGCCATTACACCTTTCACGTACGTGGCATGTGTACATGTTAGGTTGTGCTCTGCCTATGGGAGGAGCACAGCACCTACAAATACATTGTCTTGTAGGACAGACAATTTCATTTATGGGCTTAAAGTCTTATGAATATATTATAGTACAAAATAATCAAATAATTAGATTTGAATTACTAACATTTTTGGCGATGCGTAGAATCATTCTTATCCAGTATTTTGATGATTTATGAGAATACAATATGATTTAAGACATTTTAACTGTTCCCAAATATTCTTAAATTTGTAACCTAATATTTCTAAAAAAAATTTGTACACCTAGACACTCTGTCTCCCTCAATTTGAATATTAGAGCCGTTATTATTGATATACGATAATGGACTGATGCTCCTTTCCAGAAGATTAAAGAATTCTCTTGAATGGCCTCCAACGTCAACTCTTTCCTCTCCTAGAAATTCAACCTCTAATTGATATCAGTTTTTATCAATGATAATGTAGCAGTTTATCAACCTCCAGCTGCTTCGTTGTATTTAAATGAGTCTCTGGCACATTTTGATTATATGATTCATATCCTTGGTTTTCAGTGAATCATTGCTCATAATCGTAACCACCATATGGACGATGATAGTTTTTTAGCGGAACCTTTTGTGCTGTTCTAATTGGATGCTATATTCTTCAGTTTTATACTTATTAAAGCATTTTTTGGCTTCATTGTGCTTTCGCATTCATTTAGTGAGAGATTAAAACAGTGCCTTAGCTAGAATTTCTCCTGTCCACACCAAAACACTTTTGTTTTGTTGGCATCCAGACCTGCTGTAAGAAACCAAACTGACATTCATAGAGAATGAAAAGACTTCTAGAACGTAATGAAAAGTGATGCGTTTAATGACTTTTGAAATGATATAAGATAGGGCCTCTAAATCTCTTGTTACCAGATTTGATAATTGGAGTTATGTGATGAATCTTAATTTCATTATTTGACAATGGAAGGGGATTTGAAAGAAGTGATAGAAATATGCTGCAACGGCTCACACAGAGGTGTAGCACACCAGTACCATCAATACCGGTTGCTTTAAATTAGAAAACATCACTGAATTGAAAAATACTTTAATAAAAAATTTTAGTAATAATTGTTTTAATAAAAATCAATTCTGCATCTGCATTTGCCTGCACATTAACACAATGGGCTAAAACAGGTGATCTTGTTTTGTGCAAGTGACATTGTACTCACTAACTTTTAATAAATTGTTTCTTCATTTCAAAATCTAAATAATAAGTATTTTATTCAGTTAGCAAAAAATGGACGTGCTTACTTTGAATTCCTTTAGTTCTTGCAGCAGTATGTTGATCCAAGTTGGATTTTCTGGCTGTTTATACAGAAAATGGCAAGACATTGAAACCAGATCCACCTTGTACTATAGACTCATGAAGCAAACTGTTTGATC